CAAGTATAAATAATGTAAAATATAAGAAATAGAAATAATGCTATAAATTAAAAGATAATATTTAATATACTTTTCCACATTTTTTTATGAAATGATTTTATTCAAATTCTTTCACATATTTTAATTTTGGCAACATAAACATATAGTAATTTGCCATTTTAATCATTTTTGAGTGTATAAGTCATGGCATTAATTATATTCACAATGTTGTGTAACCATCATTGCTTTTTCCAGAACACTTTAATCACCCTAAAAGACACTCAGTAGCTACTAAGTAATAACTCCCTATTCTCCCCTCCCCTGGACCTTTCTATCATCTTTCTGTCTCTGTGAACTGAACTCTTCTACATAGTTCACATAAGTGGAATCCCATAGTATCTATTTTTTTGGTGTTGATTTATTTTACTCAACATGTCTCCAGGTTTCATCCATGCATCATAAACTTCCTTCCTTTTAATGTATGTATAGACCACACTTTGTTCATTGACTCATCTGTTGATGGATTCTTAGGTTGTTTCTTTAGCTATTATGAGTTGTGACTAATGTTTATATTGCTATATGAGTATGAGTTTGAATTCCTGCTTTCATTTCTTTTGAGTATATAGAAATGGCATTTCTGGAGCATAATGGTAACTCTACGTTTAATTTTTAGAGGAAGTTCCAAACTGTTTTCCATTCTGGTTACACCATTTTACATTTGCCAGTCATGCATGCAGTTCCAATTTCTTCACATCCTCACCAATGTTTGCTATTTTTTTGTTGTTATTTGCCTTTTAATTATAACATTCATATTAGATATAAAATGATATTCCATTATACTTCTGATTTGCATCCTCCTAATGATTAATGATGCTAAGCATCTTTTAATGTGATTGTTTGGCCATTCATATACACTGAGTGATGTCTATTTAAATTCTTTGTCATTTGTGTGAACAAAGACTGGAAATATTGAATGAGAGAACCATCTTCAAATAATTTTGTCTGTCAACAAGGAGAGGACAAGAAATTTTTAAATACATAGTGGGAACCCCATCCCTCATCAGATCTTTCCCCTGGCCAAAACAAGGCTCCACTGACCCACCTTGATGAAAGAGTGCAGAGATTTCCCATACATCTTCTTGAAGTTAGCCCGGATGTCCAACATATCAATCTCTGCTCGAGAAACCATCACTCTGATGAGGGTGTCGTCATCAGTACCCAAGCCCTAAGGAAGAAAACAAGGTCCTCACATTTCAAAGCCTAGCCATTTTTGATTGTGTTCATCAAAAACAATTGTGTTTGGTTTTCTAGCAAACCAAAATAATGTATAATTCCTCTGATGGTTCTTCTGTACTACGAGCTTAGAAGCCCGTGGACTAGCCTCATTTTTCACTATGGAATTCTAGGGTCTCCGCAACTTACATCTCGAACAGTGTGTCTTGAGGAAGACCATGCTCCGTCATTCTAGAGACATCCCTTAGGTTCTCTAGCCTGCCTGCCTTACCTGCAGTGATTCTGTCCCCAGTGCCTTTCAATTTTTCATTCCTTGTAAAATCCTCACATGGAAGACTTCCTGTAAGGTCCTGCTCAAATGTACCAACTTCTTTTATTTTTACCTCATTGCCAAGGATTAAATTTTTTTATTAAAATAACAACTCATTTTATTATTATATAAATTGATGGTGCACATCATTATAAATCAACAGCTGTAATTATTGCATTAAGTTCACCACTGAAAGTCCAATTCTATCTTTCACCATGAAATTTCTTTAAATATTTTTTCTGCCCTTTCCTTTCTCCCCAAATGGAAAAGAATACCCTTTCTTTTGTGTTCCTATAATATTTGGATCCCCAGTTGTCCTTTATGTTTTGTTTTTATTGATATCTGTCACATACCTGCCTTCTTCTCAAGCCTTGCAGTTCTTTGCAAACAGGAACAACATTTTGGTCTTTCCAGCACCCTTCACCTCTTCCTAGTTCCCAGCAAGGACGCTTATATCGGAAGCATGGACTCTGAAGCTGGACTACCCAGGTATATTAATTCCTCATCTAGGACCCTGGGTAAATTGTATATTCTCACTCTACCTTAGTTTTTTCATCTATAAAACAGAGGCTGAAAACAATATCACCCCTTTGGAGTAAAATTAATCTATATCTATATATATTTATATAGAAGCCATAGGAGTAGTGATCACAATCATAAGCACTTAATAAATATTACCTTGGCTTACTATTAGTGGGCACCTAGTAAATGAAGTATTTAATGAAAAGAATTGACCATTTCAGGTTGAAATTTGGGTGGGGTATGTAAGTAAACATATAAATGTGGATATGGACATGCCCAAGTCATTCAGATGTTAGAAATAAAGTCATTTACCTTCATAGATTTATAGAGTCTTTCAGCAAAATATGCAGGCTTGTTTCTCATGCACTTTACTGTTAAAAGAAATAAAGAAAATCTATGAGAAAAATAGGGGAGTTATCCCTCTGTATCCACAAAGCATGAAGAAGAAGTATTGATTGTTTTGTCAAAAAAAATTTAGCCAAACAAATCAAAGTCGTGAATCAGGCTGTCAAAACAAAAGGAAACTTCAAAATGAGTGATTGCTATAACATAATTTCAAAATGAGTGATTGCTATAACATGAAAGTTTTAGTTCTATACATTCATGGATTTGCAGAATGCAGATAGTATAGAATTTTCTTTCCCAGAGACTGAGAAATAGAGGTGCAGAGAATTTAAAATATTTAAAGCCATGTGGTAAAATAACAATTAGGGACTACACAATGTTTCTAGTTTTGAATTCCAGAACACAATGTGTAATTTAAATAATATTTTTAACCCTGAAAAAACATTCTCTACATTCTTATGAGGACAAACTGATAGCCAGAAGGAAAGTCTATAGTCCTCTGTTTCTCCATTCACCAGCTCCTACTAGCTTACCTATAGCCAGAAGAGCATCTTCGAAGCTACCAGATGTTTCTGATTTAATACTCTGTTCGATGTCCTTCTTTGAAATCCTCTTGTATTCATCAAACACTACAAACAATTACAAAATGGAATTATAAATAACAAAAGCAGAATAGAGGAAATGAAAATTAATGGAAAGAATGAGCATCTTTTAACTAGATTACACTATTTATTCTTTGACATATTTCAAGAGGAAATTGGCAAACAATGTGCATGAGAACCTAGGAGGCCTACCACCAGTGAAATGTGCCCAAGGAGAGGAGGAAGGAACACTGAATTTTGGGAAGTCAAGCACGTCTCTTCCCTTAACTGGGGCACTGTTTTTGCACACATAAAATGGAGATCACCACTGGAGAGATTTGCTTTCTTTTCTTATTGTTTCCTTAGAAGGCAAGGAGTGTCTTTTTGTAACATGAACATAGACAGTCACCTGTATATTCACCTTCCTTTTGGCTCATCGAAAGTAGGACAATTCACCTCTTCAAAACTGAGTCATGTTTGGAAACAGTTGGCTGCATCTTTTAATAGATTAATGCACTTAAATTTTTTGTCAGGTGTTTTTGAATGTGATGAAATGTTTTCCCCTCTTACTGCTGCCTATTGGATACTTCTCGTTTTTGTCTATCTTCCTTACATCACCTTCTTTGGGGTGCTGCCTCACTCCCATGACTGTGATTCTCACTGGGGTGTCAATCCAGAGACACCTACCTCATCCCAACATGTATCATAAACCCCACTAAATGAATGAGCAGCTCACCCAAACATTTTTATCCTCTGGGAATTTTTTTTAACTGAGCAGATCATTACAAAAACACTGAGTCATCTTTACCATCTGAAAACAGAAAAGTCACCTGGGAAACCTGCTGTACTTCCTAGGTATCACTCTCAGAGACTGTTAAGTCAGTCAGACTAAAGCAGGGGAGCAGGAATGAACACTTTTACTGGAGACTGCCTTGGAAATAAAATCCATGATTCCCTTCCACTGAAATTCCCAGAACTGCCTTCACTTCTGTTCTTCCTGGACTTGTTTAGCATTCTCTTCAGTCCTGTAAGTCACCACCATTTTCTAATTCCTTCTTTCCCATTTCATAGTATTTCTTCTTTGCTTAAGTTGGAGCCAGCATCTCTTGATTAGAATAAAAAATTCTAAGTGACACATTTTCTACACATCAGTTTTCTACACTGAAAAACGGAGACAACAATGACTGTTCCATGGGTGGGTATTTCAACAATGCTTATAATATGTCTGGCATTGCATTTGCAAGTTAGATAATAATAATTCTCTAATTAATTAAATACTATCTCAGTTATTGTGAATCCTTATTATTATTGTTAGTAAAAAAACTATCATGTTCTCTTAATCAAAACAGTACTTAAACTAAATTCTGCTAGTGGTTAACAGTTATTTTTATAATTGCCCAATTTTTAACTTGTACCAGGAAGTATTTGTTGTACATCTTTTTGCACTAAATCAGCTTCTGCAGACATGCAGTTCTTAAAAAGTACCACCAGGGGGAGATTTGTGTTATTAGTATTGTAATCCAGCAAAGAAAGTCAAAGTTGAGTATTGAGTGCGAAGTTCTTGCATCTGATGGTAGCCCATGAACTTTTCTAACAGGAGTAATTTCTTGTCACAGTGGAATATATGGGGTAACTGCAAATTTCCAAATGTATTGTAATTTTCTATTTATGTTTTCAATTTAGCAAACTCATTCTTCTCAGGGTTCCCACAGCTTTGTATAAAGGCTTAGTGGGCTTATGAAACTCAGGCTATTGGCTATATATAAAAAGAGCTTATATAAAAGATAAAATATCTGGGGCCCTCCCTGGTGGCTCAGCGGGTTAAAGCACAGCACTAAGAATCTAAAGCCGCTTCTGCATGAGTTCAATTCCCGCCAGCCCCGGAGGTGACCACATGGTGTGGCAGACCTCTCCTGACCCGCCCATTGCTCCCTTCAGCAGTGTACTTTGACCATCTGCCTGTTCTGTTGCCCACTCTGTCTCTGGTGAAGCCTCTCACCGCCCCTGAGCCTCTGGCCTGTACCCCAGTTCTGTATGCACAAATAAATAAAATCTTTAAAAAAAAAAAAGATAAAATATCTTATTAGTCCCTTACCCTTACTTCTGTTTACAAGAAGAAAATAAACCTGACAGCAAAAGCTCCACAATTGAATCTTTCCTCCAAAAAAGTTAAAAATTACAAAGGTAAATACTATCAGAGGCATATTGGAAGCATTACACATAGGAAATAAAATTTGTAATTATCTGCTATTCACTTCTGTTAGTTTAACAATGTGGGCATTAAATAGGAATAAATGTCAACTAATATTGTGTTTTCTTGCTTGTTGATTTTTTTCTTATGTAACTAAATTTTAATAGTGCTTTTCTATAAAAAGGATTATGAAGGTTGATTTCCTATACATAGGAATACTAAATTATGAGTACATTGTATATCTGCTAATTACTCATAATTAATTTTTCAAAAATTGAAACTCACACACATTATTCATAATTAATTTTTCAAAAATTGAAACTCACACATCACTGCGTTCACACATTTCCAAGGTAAGATATCTGAGACAGTTCAGTAAATTCAGTTCTTTGTACAAAGTAAAGGGAAAGTAGTTATCAATAATTATCAATTAATTCTGGGCAATACACTTTTAACTATCTTTGTCTTTGGAAAATAAGGCAGGTGCCGTACCATGCAACAAATGATTTCGATTCCGGGTACACAGAATAGTTAGAAATTTCACCTCATCTGTCCCCCATTTTTTTTCTCCAGCCTCATACAGATCCTGAAACCAAACAAAGCACAAGTTTAAAACATCACAGAGAAGGTACCAGGAAATACAAATATTTCCAAAATTTCAAAGAGCTAAGCTGGCTTTGTTTTATTTTGTTGGTGGAGGAGGGTAGAAGTAGTATTGGCAGCGATTGGAAATCACTCAGGATTTTTCTTAGTCATTAACTAGTGGGATCCCACAATATCTCCTTGAGAGACAGGGCAAACAGCAGTTCCTTAGGGCTGATTACATGGCTCCAACTTAGGAGCTAAAAGGAATGCCAGACAGTTGGACTGTCCCATACAGTAGCCATTAGCCCCATATATAATCAGTTCTTTGTACCAAGTAGAGGCAAAATGATTATCAGTTAATTCTGGGCAGTATACTTTTTTGCTATCTTTCCAACACTTTCTTTGGAACAGAAATAAGGCATGTGCCTTAGTTACTTCTTATAAATAAATAATATCTATTCATATCTTTATATATGCTACTATATTTACAGACAACATATAACATTATTACATAATAATTAATACTTAACAAATAATACATACAGTAGTTATTTACTTAAATAAAATTGAACCCAATACAGACAACACATAACATTATTACATAATAATTAATACTTAACAAATAATACATACAGTAATTATTTACTTAAATAAAATTGAACCCAATACAGACAACACATAACATTATTACATAATAATTAATACTTAACAGATAATACATACAGTAGTTATTTATTTACTTAAATTAAATAAAATTGAACCCAATCATACTAGCCACATTTCAATGTTCAGTGGCCATTAGTTATCCAAATTCCCTTAGACAACACTTCTCTAGAATGATCTGTGATTTGTTAAAGGCTGCAGAAGGTCCACAATAGAAATAGGACCCAATTAGTTACTGCTTATATTTCAACCAGGTAGAAATAACAAGAAATAGATTCTGGGTCACTTTAACTATAATATTGATATATCAAAACCACTGTTCATATTACCTCACACACATTAGGGTGCCCTCTATTAAAAAAAATAGAAAATAACAAGAGCTGGAGTAGATATGGAGAAACTGGAACCCATGTGCACTGTGCAATGTAAAATGATGCAGCCAATAAGGAAAACGGTGTGGCTCTTCCTTAAACAAAAACAAAACACCCAAAAGAAATTATCATATGATCCATGAACACTACTTTAGGGGATATATGATATATGCAAAAGAACTGAAAGCAGGATCTTAAAGAGATATTTACATACCCATATTTATAGCAGCAATATTCACAAGCATCAAGAGGTGGAAGCAGTCCAAATGTTCACTCATACATGAATGTGATGTATAAAATAATGGAGTACTGTACATACTTATAAAGGAAGGAAATTTGGCATGTGCTACAACATGGGTGAGGACTTAATGTTAAGTGACATGAACCAATCACAAAAAGAATCCAGTATGATTTCATTTACATGAAGTATCTAGTACAGTTAAATTCACTGAAACAGAAAGTAGAATAGTGGTTGCCAGTGGCCTGGGATGGATGGTGGGAAATGCATTGTTTAATGGGTACATTGTTTTTAAGATGTAAAAGCTCTGTTGCACAATAATGAGAATATATTTAAAGTACTGAATTATATGATGATAATATTTTTGATATGTGGGTTTTATTTTTTAAAGTTTTAACCCTATTGTTCATTTATAATAAGCTTGCTAAGTTTCTCAAAATACCCTTAAATGACATATTTTGTCACCTATTGGGCTTACTTTCCTCTACCCAACTGTTTTCTCACTTCTTTCTATAATTCCCTTACTTCTTTAGAGTCATGGAATTTTTAAAGCTGTTAAGGGCATGAAAGTTCTTTTAATTCAATATTTCTCAAATTTGAATCTTGGCAGGCTTGTGACTGCTTCGATCAATAAAGTATGATGGATGTGCACTGGTTTCTGAGGCTAGGTCATGAAGGGCCAGCAGCTTGGCTCTCTTGGAAGGCAGGCTTCCATGTGCTGGGTCCTGAAACCCAGCCACTATGTTCTGGGAAAGGAAAGCTACCTGAAAAGGCCACAGGAGCTCCTTTGGAAAGTTCCAGATGAGTCTCTGAATCATCTCAGCCCAGATGCCAGATCATGAGAGATGGACCCTCCAACCTCCACTCACTTGAGTGCCCTCCAGCTGTTCAAGTCTGCTCCCCTAAGACCTCAGGTGTTACAGAATGGAGACAATTTAGTTGTGTCTTATCTTGTCTGAATTTGTGACCCACCGAATGGATGGGATTAATAAAACAGTGGTTGTTTTGTCACTAAGTTTGAGGTGTAACTAGAACAGGTGGGTAAAAAAAACAACAATCTGTCATGGAATGATACTTTTGTAAAGTACCATAACAATGACCTTGACAAGAATAACCTTTTTAATAGTGGGTGTAGGGGAGTATCTTTTTGTATTTATTTGTGGCTTTAGAAAAATAATTTTGAGGGACTTTTTATGTATTTGACATTTCTCGTTTTCCTTTTATTAAGTTGCCTTAATAACTTAATAAAAGGCAGGCATGAGAGGATTCACCAGAGACAGAGTGGGAGCAGAACAGGCAAATTTACTGAAATACACTGCTGAGGGGAGCCGTGGGAGAGACTGGTGAGGTCTGTTGTATCATGTGGGTTAGCTCCCTGGTTGGGGGTTGAACTCATACCTTAGTAGTGATAGTACTGAGATTTAATCCTGATGTTACCAGGGAGGTCCTAACCATATTTTATTTTATTTTTTTCTAATAAAATTTCTTTCTATATTAAACTTATTATACATGAGGTGAAATTTTTCCTATTTTATCACTTCACCTTTAGTTTTGTTTGTGATAATGTCTGCTGAAACTATTTACATGTTTATTTTAATGTAGCCAAACTACCAATAAATTACCCCAATGGATTCTGCAGTTTGTGTCAAGCATACAAAATTCTTACCCATTCCAGACTTAAAAATATTTATTCTATCTGAAAGTGCCTTTTTGGCTGCATTGGTTTACACCAAAATTTTCAGTCTATTTGGAATTCATTCATGATGGGAAATGCAAGTAAGAATCTAATTTTATTTTGTCCAACTCCACTCTATAAACTGTGTTTTCTTCATTGACTTGAGAAGCTATCTGTATGTTCACATATAGGCTTGGTTTTCCCCTCAGATTTTCTAACCATTCCACTGATTTCTTGCTATCTCACACCAGGACCATACACTTTACATTTGCCTCTTTTATACATTTAAATACACACCCTTCTTGTCACATTCTACCCTCCACTGTCTATCCTCTCTGTTGCTCCTCTTCCTGGTCTCTTTGTCCTTTTCTGCTGGACTCTGCAGATTTCTTCAGCATTATTTTCTACAACAATGATTCTGTTTTCTGCAGGGTCATTTCAGCTACTACTTTAAATAAACATTAAAATCCCAGTTTTCCTTGTTTCTTCTAAGGACATTTCTGTCCAACTCATCTAGCTTTTTTTTTTCTTTTTCTTTTTACATTTCTGCTTGCCTTTTCACTAGCTCCATGTTCATCTCTGCTATGCTACTTTCTCATTATATTTTTAAAGCTCTATTTAAATAAAATCTGTTTTCCTCTCATTTATTTTAAAATCCAAAGCTATTTGAAATGTCTCTTTCTTACTGTTTGCCCCTCTCTGGGTCTCAGTTTATTCACAGGTTACCTGGCTTGAGCTAAGCTATAGCTTTTCATTGCCCTTTCATCTTTAAATGATGACAGTCTACCCTCACCTGGCTTTTTCCTCCCAGAACAAGGTACATGGGTTCTTCTCTGACTCCTCACTTTTCACTAAGATAAAGTTCAGGAAAGCAAACTTGTGCTAGTTCAGTGAGGGGGCTAAGACACAAGTTTTTAAGTAGCTTCTTCCTGTTTGCTTGCAGCCACTGTGGCTCTTTCCACTTGGGTGAGGCTGGGGAGTCAGCCTCTCTTCTCGGGAGTGTCTTTCCTTTGTTCTTGACCAGGTTTGCTGCCTATCTGGCATTTTATTTTATTTACTTTTAAGATTTATTTTATTTATCCATCAAAGAACTGGGATGTATAGGCCAAGTGTGTGTTGGGGTGGTGGTGGTGGTGGCAAGGAATTGGGGTGAGAGGATTCACCAGAGACAGTGGAGAGCAGTAGAGACAGATCTACTAAAATACACTGCTGAGGGGAGCAGTGGGTGAAACAGAAGAGGTCTGCTGCGCTCTATGTGGGTTAGCTCCCTGGCCAGGGATCCAATTCAGCCCTTAGCAGTGATAGCGCTGAGACAGCCCCTAGCGCCACCAGGGAGACCTCTATCTGGCCTTTTGATAGTCCTTCTCCATAATTTTGAGAGTTGATGCAGGTGCTTCAGATATGTCCCTTTTATGTATTTCCTGGCTGCTTTGAAAACCATTTTTAATGTAGTTTTAGTATATCATAAATTTATTTTTAAAGTAGGAATTCTGAATACTACCTATTATTTCCTTTTGTGTAATTTTTATACCATAACTAAATAAATGGAACTTGTTAGGTAATGCTCTCTATAATTTAAAATCTCTACTGCATTATGTAAAATTACTACTTTATTCCACTACCCTTGCGAGTCTTCTCATACCAAATTCATTCACTTTCCTATGTTAATAGACTACCTAAAGTCTGCAAATACTGCCCTTGCTGCTGATGTGAGCTAAAAAGCAGTGGGTTGGAGTGCTGGGTTGGTGCCCTGCACTGTGAAGCTAAGGCAAGCCGTGGCTGCTTCAGTGAGAGTTCGATTCCCACATGGTACAGGAGACCTCTCTTGTTTCGCCTGCTGCTCCCCTCAGCAGTGTACTTTGTCGATTTGCCTGTTCTGCTCCCTACTCAGTTTCTGGTGAATCCTCTCGCTAGCCCCTGCATCTCTGGCCTATATCCCAGTTCTATATGCATGAATAAATAAAATCTTAAAAAAAAAAAAGCAAAGGTTGACAAGGTTTTTCTACTGTCTTATTCTGAAAGAGTTGAAACCATGTTGGAAATTGTCCTTAAATTCCATACCTTTGATAAAACTTGGGCGTATCCAAAAAAATTCTACCTCCTATGTGATCTTGCATAACTATTTAAATGCATACATCAGTTTCCTCATGGGTCAGACAGAAGTAATAAGATCTACTTCACAGATTTATTATAAGTAAAATAGTTTACACAATGCCTGGCACCTAGTAAACCCACAAGAAATTGATACTGGATATGTTGTTTCTGGAGTAAATTGCTCATTAATTTTTCATCTAATTTTGGATTTAGCCAGGCTATAGAGGTTCCTTCCAGCATGCCCCAAATGCTCTCTGTGAGGGAACTGAAATTCACATAAACATCTTAGAATTCCTGTGTGTTCAACACCTTCTCCATCCTCAGAGCTTCTGGATTTAAGGCAATCCAGAACATCCTGGAGGAGAAGGCCCTCCTTGAGTCCTCAGAACTTAGGGCATATATATCCCTCCCCCTTTTTAAAATATCATTTTTTCCTCCCTACAGAATCCATAGGGGTTGATACCTCACATACCTGAATGGAACCAACCCCACTGGCTGTATATCAATAAAGAATTATAGGGCCCAGATTTAGAGGCCTAGGTTCACATCCCAGTTTTGTAATCTATTATCTGTGTGAACTTGAGCCAAGTACAGGGCTTCTCAATTTCCTTATAATGAGGAAAGCAATACTTAGACAACTTCATAGGATTGTTGCAATGACATAACTCATAAAGAGTTTACAATAGTGTTTGGAACCTGGAAAATAGTTACTTTTTATTATTCATCATTACTAGTGTTACCTGGATACTGTCTGTCTAGCTCAGGAATTAGTACCCAAGCAACCATCATTGGACTGATATTAATTTTACTCAACAGGGTGCGCACACTATGCCAAGCTGTTTTGCATAGGTTCTCTCTGAGGAAATAAAAAAATGATACAGATCCCTTCATATCTGAGTGATTCAGAAAGTACTCCATGGTTCTCTAGGATGGCTACACCACTGTCCTAAAATCAAGAAATCTGGAACTCAAGGGTGCTTATATAATGATGCCCAGGCGACCCCAAGCCCCAGGTGTCTCTGTAAGAAAACTCTGCAATTATAGGTCTGTTATGAGAAACTTATATTTTTCATAAAATACCCCAGTCTAGTCAATACACATGGAAATATGAGGGTATCCAACAACTGAGGCCTGTCTTAAAGGAGAAGAAAGAAGCCACAGTTCTACTCACCTGGGCATCCTTTTGCACGAGAGCATCATCCAGAGCATTTCCTGTATCTCTGCCACCCTGAGGATGAGAATGGGAAGATGGGGAGTGGGTAGAGGGCACTGTTAAAACTAGAGGGCCTGGGTATTATGACGCAGTAATTAGACCGCCACAAGGGGTCGTGCGTCCAGCCGACGAAGCTAATATAGAGCCTTTGACTGTCTTGATTATTCACAAGGTGCTGATCTGTGCTAACAGACATTTCCAGTCAAAGGGCACATGCCAGGTGGCTCCCAATGTGGTATGGGAGTTTCTGCCAGTAGAAGGGGAAGGAGAATGAATGCCTCCTATTAACTGTTTTTGCCACTACTATCTACTCACTTCTCTTTCTCTTTCCCTCCTTGTGACCCAGGCCTTCCTAACTGGCAGAGTAACATTGATCAATTGCCAGATTGGGGTTGAGAACAGAGTAGAATGTGGGAATGTGGGATTTGAGGAGACTGAGAAACTACCCCCTACCCCCCTCCCTCCCTACCCCGGGGCCCTCAGCAACATGACCTAGCAGAATGTACAGGGTTGAAGCCTTGCAGGAATGCGAATGAGTGGCAAAACAGGCTATTTTCCCCTATTTTGTTAGACAACTTTTACTGCTATACTGTCTCAATGGTCTTTGGTATAGGTATGGCTCAGCAGAGCAGCAAATCTGGGAGGAAATAAAATGATGATAAGGAATAAGGAAAGCAGATAGGCATCATTAAGTAAATGTCAGAAACAGTGAGGTAGGAGTTGAAGATGATTTTTGGAGGTTCTGCTTTGCTGGAAGAACAGAAACAGGGGAGTCAGGATGAAGAGCTGGGTTGGCTGGAAAATAAGTTTAGGTTTAGTTTTAGGAGGACTGATTTGAGGTATAATAAAGTAAACATAAAGGAACATCTAAAGAGCGGTGAGAAATGATCTCACTCTCAGGAAGGAGGTCAGAAATAAAGCTAAAATGGGAAAGTCATGTGAAATATCTCAAGCACCCATCTCCTCCTTTTTGGTACCCTGTTCCCACATTAGCCTGGTCTTGCTCTATTTTTCACTGGACTATTGAGCAAACTTCCTATCTGGATTCCCAGCTTCCAGTTCAATTTATCTTAGACACACTATTACATCACTCTCCTGAAAATCAATTCCAGCCACTTCTCTCTACATCTCCAAAACCTTTAGTAGCTCCCTACTGTTCTCCAAAAAAATGTAAACTCTCAACACAGAATTCCGGTTCACCCTTCCACCTTGCTCCTAGAATCACCAGCCTGACTGCTCAGCCAATTGTTTCTTATGAACACACCCTGTTTCCTGCTTTCTTGTCTTTCCTCCCTGGAATGCATCTACCCACACTTCTGCTTCTTGAAAGCATAGCAATCCTGTAAGTCCTCTCTAAACCAGCACCTCTGCCAGAAAGCCTTTGCTAAGTTTTGGCAATCAAGGTCTCTCCTTGAACCTACCTTCTACTGGGCCTCTCTGTTGACATTGTTCTTTTCATGCCTTTATTAGTGCAACCTGTGTGTCTGATATATTTCCTTACGACAATATAAACCCTCAAAGCCAGGAAACTGCCTCTTGGTCATCTCTACAACTCTCCAATAATACGAACCAAGTAAAATGGGTACCTGGCATGTATTCAGTACTTAAAGTAGAATGAATGCACATGTATGACTAGCTGAGTCTCTAAAGAGCAACTATAACAACAAGACAGGACAAGGGCTACACTCATCTTTGGAAGGCTACCCCCCACCCCCAGCCTCCATCAGAAGCAATTAACCAAAGGGATCACTCACAGTGCTCAGAGACACCAGCACTCGCTGGAACATGAACGATGTGTCGGACCGAATGTCGTCTTCAAGGCTATTTCCATATTCTAGCAAGAGAGTAAAATTTGCCAAATCAGAACAAAGTCCTGCCCAATATTGTATCATACTCCAGGGCCTTCTGTCCTCTCCACAACCAGTCTACTCACTAAAGCATAAGGTTTTTCACCCCACATAGTTTTTCCAAAACTAAAGTGGAAAATGGTCAAGATGAGCTGAGCTTGTTGGAGCAGAAACGAGGTTCCATACACAGGAGGCTGAGAAGGTGGGGCTGGCCTCCTCACTCTATGGCCCTACTGTGTGGGTATCTGTCCTGAAGGTGGTTTCCAGGGGAGCACATGGAAAGGCAAACAGCCCCTGAACCCAAGTTTGGGATAAGCAGGAGGCTGTGAAATCCAAATTCGAATGTGTGCCTTCTCTTGCCCAGGATCTCCCGACACCATTCACGGCCCTCAGAGTAAGAACTGTTTTTGGCAAAAGGTGGGAGTGAGTCTATGTTCCAGGTGCTAGAACAAAACTCCCAAGTTTTAGAATATCCTGCTCTGAACACTCACTGAAAAACTCTGTTTTTCGCTGTCTACCACGGTTGTATATGTTTATTACAGAAAAATTAAGAAAAGACAAATAAAAGGGGTGAAGGATGTCACTGTGATCTAATCACCCAGAAATAATAATTTTGTTTAGCCAGTCTGCTACTGTTGAACATTTTTAGTTAATATAAACAATACCAAGTGAACACCATGGGAACTAAACCTTTGTACATTTCTAAATATATTTTTAGGGTAAAAATGCATCTTTTAAAGGCTTTTCTGAAGTATCAGTTTCTGGGGTTTTAAAGAGGAGAGTAAATGGCTATTTTTTTTTTTAAGTAGCTGGAGGACATAAGAGTCCAGTTTGGACATAAGAGATGGGGTCAGAAGTCCTCTGCTGACCGTCCCCTGGAATTCTAAGACTTACTGGTGCTGCCCTTTTGAGCAAGCACCTTTGATTCTCTGCTTGATAAAAAGGAATATCTTTTCAGATTTCAGAGTAATGAAACACTGCCCTGGGCAGACGAAGGAGAATGGGTCTTCATCTGAGAAACTTGAGAAGCTAACAGATAGTCATTTGCCTACACTGGGATCTGCCTCACAGCAGAGTTTAAAACTGATCCTCTGTCATGGTCAGCGCTTCTGGGAAGAGAGTCTAATCAGTGAGTAACCAACCACTGCCCATCTACTTCTCAGATCACTGTGAAACATGAACCAGGGCCCCTGAGATGCTACATACGCAGCTGGTAGTTCTCCTTTATGAGGCTGAGCTCTTCAGGTGACCGGGAGGCCAGGATCTCAATCAGACAGCCCTCATCGGTGCCAGCTCCCTAAAGACAAAACCCAAAGGGGAGGGGGATTGAGTCCCAGATGTTGAAGGAATACAGCTAGGAATCTTTAGACAAAGCACCATAAGATTTGCTCATCTTAACGAGCAAATTCCATTGTGTTTACCAACCATTATTAGTAATAACAGGCACTTCTGGACTGTTTCTCTGTGTTAATTGTAGTCAGGTTACAGTCTGTTCCCTAGGGAGTTAGTATTTTCTTGGCCTCCCTTGTCTTCCTTTAAAGGGTAGCACCTCTGGCAAAGACTGTTTCTTCTTTGCTTTCCCAGAGCCTAACCCAGGACCTTGCACAGGACTAAGTATTTGCTGACATGACTGAAGAGAGATGTTGTATTTGAATTTCATCCTTGGCCATTAAAAAACAGCAGACCATAAGCGGGTCAGACATCAAAGGAGCCGACAGCCCTTTTTCGCCAGTTCTGAGTCTGTAGGGGACCCAGAGCCCCATGGTGTCAGTTATAAAGTTTAATATCTCAAAAAGTAGCTGACACAACAAGAGAGTTTCTGCAATGTTTATACAAAAAACACAATTACACTCACTCCCTATGGAGTCATAGAAAAGAGCAAATGATTTTAAGTTTTTGGAGAACAACTTTTCAGCTACAATTTTAATAATGTAATGTCATTTCAAGTTGTCATAAATGACAACTATGTACCATCCTTCTCATTCTCAGAAGGCCTTCGTCAAGGTTTCTTGACAAAGCTCATCAGCGTTTGTTCTGAGAGGATTGAGAACATGTTATTTCTTTGCTTTCCCAGAGCACAACATCAGCAGGGCAGAGGATTTGTGGACATGACTGAGGAGGGCGATTATGAAAAGGAGGAGCAAAAACCTTCATAGCCTTTCGCAGCTCCTGCACGTCGTACAGCACAGTGGATGTCATCATTCCCAAGATCACCTTCTCGAAGTTGCCAGTCAGTTCTGACTTCAGGTCATCCAACAGATCCTGCAATGCAAGAAGGTGGCTTTCCTAACTGCTGCAGTAACTTAAACAGAAGTTCTGTGCAAGGGGCTTCTGGGTACCTTTCGGGAGTACTTAGGTCAAAACTGTTCTCCTACTAACACTTAGACTTTGCATTTCCACTTCCATTCTCCCACAATTGTACAATGGAATTTTCCAAAGGCTACTCTTCATAGGCACAATTATGTCAAAAGGCTACTAACATGCTCCTCCCTCTTCCAAATATTTATCTGCACAGACCAGATTTTCTTTATATACTTTACAACACATTGAATGCAGAAACAGATTTGAGAACTCATCTATGTTCCATTAAATCAGATGTTAAAGAGCCTGGCAAAATGTAAACTACAGCATATTTTACATTACAATATAATCTTACTAATTTTTTGGAACATAGAACTATTTTACATAAGATTATTTTAACATGATTTCTAAATTTTTTTTGCTTTACAGTAATATAAGTATCAAAAGCTGTAACACTCACAAAGACAAAAAATGTTTGCAATAATTTAAGAGATTATAAATGGGTCTGCCATAAAAAATCTGTAGACACTGGACCCTCCCTGGTGGCGCAACGGAAAGGACACAGCACTGCAAGCTAAAAGCAGCCACTTCAGCATGAGTTCAATTCCCCAGCCCCGGAGGTGATCCACATGGTGCGGCAGACCTCTCCTGACATGCCCGCTGCTCCCCACTCTGTCTCTGACTGCCTCTCAATCCTTTCACCACCCCTGCATCTCTGGCCTGTACCCTAGTTCTGTATGCATAAATAAATAAATCTTTAAAAAAAATTTGTAGACACTGACTTATAAATATTTGCTTACTTAATAATATACTTTACCTATATTTATAAGTCAGTACTCACCTATGACAGATTAGCTGCTATTAAATTTCTACACAAATTTCTAGTGTAGATACAATATAATTTCCTTAACCAGTCCCATTTCTATTTATTTCTACCATTACATATAGATACATTTACTTGTATCTCTTGATCATTCATGATTATTTCCTAAGGTTCAATTCCTAAAAAGAACAAAACTTAATTATTTGGACAAAGGACTAAATTCTATACATACTAATTCACATTTTCTCCTAGAACAGGTGAAAGAGTTTAAAAACCTGCTTAAGATTAACCAACTAGTAAGGAGTTTAGTTGTTACTCAAGCCCAAAGCTCTGGCCCTCTGAAGCCTGTGTCTACAATATTGTGTTTCAGCTTATTGTGCTAAATTTTTATGGTACATCCACACATATCGAGTAAATGAGTAGATGAACAAATCAATTAGTCAATCTGGTAATGCTGGTCATCTTAACACACTGCCATCAGATTAGCTAAGCTTTCAGACTGAATGTTTAACATCCTCTGGTCTCTAGTTCTCATATCACATGTACATTCATGTCTATTGGTGCATTCATTTTCTCTAGGGATGGAGTAGAGTCTTAAATGTCCAGAAGATGGCCCAAGTAATCTGATCAGAAGTATCCTGTTGCCTACTGGGTTGTCCCGCCAACACTCCCATGCAGATGCTCTGGCAAACGCTGAGCCGGACCTGTCCAGTCCCAGCCCCTCAGCAACAGGAACGTAGTTACCTCTGAGAAGTGGTCACAGTCTGACTGGTTGTAGAGTATAATATTTTTTATTTCTAAGAAATATTTATTATAGAACTAGTGTACTCTACTAGTGTACTCTGAGACCTGAAGACACTTATTGATCATATTTCCTTGATAAAACGATTCTCATGATCACACAGATAGGTTTTCAGTGATGTGGGAAGATTGGGTGGAATGAATCTGGTAAGTGGTTTGCTGAAATCAAGATTGAGAAAGGGTTCCTGAGGGGCATGGGATTCTAGCCAGAAGGCGTGGTGAGTGCACAACACGTAAGCTACTAAAATACAAAAATATAGACAAACACAAAATCCCTGAAATGAAGATCATCAAAGGAATGAATATATGCTACACATGGGTTTATGTGAAGAATCAGAATAGACCCTAAGTCCTAGGAGACCTGTTTAATACAACTGGAGTGAAATATTTTAATTAGTTTGGAGGGCCACCATCCACAGTGACCTTAAAGAGGCCTGATCAGAGTTAGGAAGACAGCACTGGACCCTCACTCCTACTTAGTGCTCAAAATGATGGCTGAACTCACTGAACAGTCAAGTCTCTTTGAGGACCTGGCCCTGAGCTCTGTGAATCAAGAGCAACCTGAAATCATTATTGGCTGACAGTGGAGGAAAACACTTTGAAACTGCGTTTTCAAGGACATCTTTAAACCAGGTAAAAGTTCTATCTTTAAAAGCAAAGGACCACTTCAGGAATTTAGATTGCAAAGAGGCCCTTGGTTCCCTGTTAGAGCTGTTTCCTACGGGTCCCCTGTGAACCACGTGCAGTGGAGAGGCCTGCCACCTACCCGGCCCAGGGTGGCTTTGTAGGTGGTCCTGATCTCCTGGCGCTGTGCCGTGTTGCGAAAGGCCACGATGTTGATAATGGCATCTTCATCTGTGCCTGGAGGTGGAACAGAGACAGAGTATGACCTGAGAGCGCAATGAGAGCATGGGTTCCTTTGCAGATGCACGAGTAATCCACACACATGCAGACAGCTTTCTAAGAAAAGAGGTCTTTGTTTGAAGGGTTTGTGAGCAAGGAAACATGTAATATTTGAGTCTTAGCCTCTCTCTGATTAGTTGTTTACTACTGAACAAAATAGTTAACATCTCTGAGTATTAGTTTCCTTCTCTATAGATGTGAGAGGTCATAGTACTTTTGTAGAACTGCTGCATACTTTTTTCTTTAATAGTTTATTTTTACATCATTTTGTACTTTTTTTTTTCATCTCAATTGTAATCCCCTAGGGTTTCCCATCACCGAGTCACACGTGTGCCATCACCATAGTCCCGTGCACTTCCCTCCCCCATTTCTGATCCCATTCCCCACTCCACCCCTACAAAATGTCTCTGGTATATGGCTGTTCATTATTCTTATTATTTTCTTGCCTGGTCCATTATACTCCTGCTATGAGCGAAACCATCCGGTATTTTTCTTTTTTCTTTCTGGCTTATCTCACTAAGCATGATCTTTTCCAGCTCCATCCAAGTTGCTGCAAAAGACATGTGTTTCTTTTTTTTTGGTTGCTGAGTAATATTCCATTGTATATATGTACCACATCTTTTTGCTGCATACTTTCAATAAACAGTAAGAGAATTACTTAGCACAAAGGCTAACACTTACTAAATTATTCAATACATGTTGGCTGTATTCATGCTTTTTTGTCTCCTCTGGGATTCTTACCATGTCTTTTGGGTTTCCTGTGCCATCTTCCATGTTCTTGCTTTTCTCTCCTCGTTTTTATCTCTTTATCATTTCCTTTGAGTTTTGAAATAATTGGAATTTGTCTTTTAATTTACTGATTTGAATTTTTGCAGGGTTTAAATTGTCTGCTCACTGCATTCACTGCATTTCAACATCTATAATTGTGTTTCATCTCCAAGCTACCTTCTCTGATCTCTTTTAATAACTGCCAATCAATTCCTATCTGAGATGAGTCCTACCAAGATGTTACAATGCAAAATTCAAATTAGACATGTTTTAAATTTGTTTGCCTGTTTCTTGAAGCAACTTTCACAGGGAGACTTTATTCTGATTTTCAAATGGTAACATTTGGGTGTTCACATAGGTTTGGTGATTTTTTCTCACTGATACCTTGTATGAGGAGTGGTGATGAGTTGCAAAAAAAGATAAAAAAGGGAGAAATTAAAACATATAGGTTCACTAGAGATCCAGAGAAATATTGTATGTAGGGAGGAAACTATAGAACTTTAATTTTATGTACTTTATAGATCTACTTTCTGTAATCTTAATAACAATAATAATAATAAATACAGCCATCCTTTCTTCCTTCAGAAATCTCAATTGGGGGCTGGTCCATCCCCTTTTGCTCATGTCTGTTTTTTTTTCCCCTAGGCAAAAAAGCATCCCCTTCTTGCTGTAAATCAAGTTTGAATTCTCAAGATAGCTTTGTTTTTTTCTTTTTTTTTTTTAATCATCTCTCCTCTTCCACATTCAAATTTCTTACCAAGTCATGAGAAATCTAACTCTAAAATAGTTTTCCCACCCATCCTTTTTCAATCTTACCATCACACTCCAGTTCAGTTCAGGATTTCTTTGTGGACAACTGTAATGTCTGCTAACTAGTATTCTTACCTTATAATTGGTCTTCTCTAAATCTTGCCACATTAATTTTCTTAAAACCAGTGTCTCCCCTCCTCAGAAATCCATAGTGGCTTACCATGGCCTGGTGGATTAGCTATAGATACTGTAGCCTGGCATTGAGACAACACAATAGCCCATTCCTTTTCACAAATATCCACATAAAAGGACACCAGGCAGGCAAATCCAGACTCAGCTCTTGAATTATACTTTATCTAACTGTATGGTATGCCTTTGTCCTGATCTGCTTCACTACCAGTCTGTTGGTTTTCGTCTCTCAAGCCCTTCTATGTAGTGTCATGATTCTGACATTTGCTGCTTCTAGTCAGTGCCTTTGGACCATCTCCCCCTATCTGTGATTCTATCGGTGGCCTTCTCAGCACTCCACGATCTCCCTAACTCTAACTAGCCTTCTTCTGCTTTACAAGCACCTCCTGATGCAAACAACCCTTCCATGTATTTACTGTGATTCCCCTAAGTCTCAGCTAAACCAGAAAATGGGGCACAGTCATCCTATGTCTTTGCTTTAGCTATCCCATTCACTGGAATTACAATCTCCCTTATCTGTATTTATTAAAACTCAATTCACATAAAATTTATAACCTCCAATAAATTTTTTAAAATTTTTTTAAAAGAGATGTATTTATTTATGCATATAGAACTGGGGTATAGGCCAGAGGTGCAGGGTGGTGAGAGGCTTCACCCGAGACAGTGAGGAGCAGAACAGGCAGATCAAGGAAACACACTGCTGAGGGGAGCAGTGGGCGGGTCAGGAGAGGTCTGCCGAGCGCCATGTGGTCACCTCCAGGGCAAGCGGGGATCAAACTCATGCTGAAGTGGCTTTAGCTTCTTAGTGCTGTGCTTTAACCCGCTGCACCACCAGGGAGGGCCAACCTCCAATAAATTTTGCTTGATGTCCCTAAATAAAAGGCCATCTCCTTTCTGACGGAAAGGATCTTATATGTGTCTTTCTGGTCACTACCATTCTATGAACTCGATGATTGCTATCTCTGTGCCTGCCTTAGTCACGTAGCATCCACGGGCTATTTGACTGCAAGAACTAGGTTTTATAATACTTATCTCCTCCGCTGTCTACCTCATATTTCTCACACAGTAGACATTAAAAGGGTTGGCTGTGCTGAATGTCTCCAAACTCTTATTTTGAGAATTCTAAATGTGGTTCATGTTCTGAATTATGGTGTTCTTGCTATATATCAAGAATTAGGATAAATCTAAGAAAAGGGTAGGCCAAGCACATTTTCCATTTTATTCATTCAGAAAGGAAAATGAGGAGAAGGCTAGAAAAGTTCAGAAAAATGTTCTATTCGGAGGTGGGCAGCAGGATCACACAGTGGCCTAAACTCTTAAACTCCCAAACTCTCAAACTGGTGGCCAGTGGAATCCTGGAATCCTGACTCTCACGGTCTCTCGTTCTGGGGCTTGGGCAAATTAGCTAATCTTCACAAACCTCAACTTCTCATCAGTAAAACAAGCTGATGCCAGCATTAAAACATAATCCAAGTAACGAATTGTGCCTAACATAGAGTACAGCTTAATAAACACTCACTATGATTGCTGTCACTGTTAGTAGCATGGGGCTGAGAAGAAGGATTCTTTTTGGATAAAAACTGGGAAATAAGGCTTCATAGGCAAGTGCTTTTATCTAAACTTCATGAAGATTCTAAACAGCAGTTACAAACTAGAGGACAATCCTCTGGCCAGATGTCCCCCTGGGCAAGAGAGTAGGCCAGGGAGCCTGAATGCACCCAGCATGACTGGGCCCAGCTGGCAGAAAGTCTCTGCTCTCGGGGAGCTCACTGGAGAGGAGTGCAGTGGATGGCATGTCATTCTAGTCACGACACAAACCTTCTCATGTAAAATTCCACACATGGCATGTGAACACTGTCCCAGCTGCACCTACCACAGCAGCAACAGACAGAGGGACTCAGGGGCTGGACACAGACAGATTGCTGGCAGTCTGGGACAGAGACAGGTTCTGCTGAGTGTGACTCAGGGCTCGGTTCCACCTACTTTATGATTTTTGAGGTTACCTCTCTGGGTCTTGGTTTTGCATTTGTAAAGTGGGACAAAAATAACATATAGCTGCTTTCACTAAGCCACAGAGCTGTTATCTATTTCTGCTGAGATAATATTTATGATGGTGCTTTGACAATTTTATGGCATGAAGGTACACATACCAGCACTAGTAGGAAAACAGACACATTTCTCAAGTTTTATATATAGATTCATAATGTTATACTGCAAAACCAGATTTTAATATTTGGCGAAATCCAAATTTTTGGATTCAATTTAACTTGCTGTAGTAAAAGTGGTAATTAGTGTCCACTCACCTAACTTGTCTCGAAAAGCCAACTTGTGTCCACTACATTTTCTTAAAGTGATATCTACTCATAATTGCAGTGAATATAGCACCCTGTGAGACCCTGGGGTGCCCAAAGTGGGGTGTTAGCCAGTCACTTACCCAACCCTTTCATGGCCTTCCTCAGGTTCTGGGCATCTTCAGAGGCATTGAATCCTGAAGCAGCTCTGATGGTACCTCCTTTGCTTGCCTGAATACAGAGAAAAAGACGTGACTGGGTGCCACCTCATCCAGCAAACATTTGCTGAGAACTCCCTGGGGTCAGACACTATTCCAGGTGCTGGGGATATGGCTGTGACCATGCTGATGTTCTAGTTGGCTGGGAGCCAGGGAGGAGCAGACAGTAAAGAAGCCAACAAATAGTTATTCCAAGTGTTAGGTAGTAAGAAGTACCGGGGAGCAGATAGAAAGCTCCTTGGAGGGGCTACTCTAGGGAGTTACAGTTGGGCTGAGATCTGAGTGATACACACAGCTGACCATGCAATGATCTGCAGGAGCAAAATTACAGGTGGGAGAACACCTGAAGCAAAGGCCTGGAGGCTGAGTGGAACTGGCTTCTGTGGGAGAAGGACAGAGGCCAGCGTGGCTCAAGCTGGGGGGCAAGGAGAAGAGTGGTAAAATAAGTTACTACAACACCTATGAGGTAATCTTGTCCTTCCCCAAAAAGGAAGACATCAAATCTGAATCTGATCAAGACTCTAGAGCCAATGCCAACGTACAGTAAATTGAAGCGAGAGGGAAATGTTAGCCAACATCACAGGGTTATAAGGAAATTGTGAGGGGAAATGGAAAAGAGAGATGAAGGCAGCTGAAAGAGATTTAAAAAGTTTATCTTTAACACAATGTATAAGTCTCATTGGATCTTGGATCAAGCAACAGCACAAAAAACTGACATTTATAAGACAATTGAAAATTTAAACAGCAACTTGATATTTGACAAAGGAATTAGTGTTAACCTTTTGGGCCTGATAATGGTATCTTGGTTGTATTTTTTTTTAAGGGTTTTAATCTTACTTATATTGAAATAGTTTACAGATGACATGATAAGATATCTGGAATTTGCTCCAAATAACACAGGTGGTAGGAAGTAAGGTAAAGAGTAACTATGAATAAATAATTACTGGTAGGAGTAAGGTAAAGAGTAACTATGAGTAAATAATTTTTAAAAGGAGTTTTTTAAAAATAGTCTACATCTGTATGTCTTTCAACTTTTCCATAATAAAAACGGCTTTAGAAGGAAGGAAGGAAGAGAGCTAGCGTCAGAACAAGGCAGCCCTCACAAATCAAAAAGGAGTTTGTTATATTCTAAGTGCAGTGGGTTGGATGCAAGGGGATGGGGAAGACAACCTGACTTGTGGGTTAAGATAACTCAGGCTGCTAGTGCGATGGGGTGCCAGTTGGGATTTGGGGCCAAGACCCAGGACTATAATACTAGAAGAGGGTGAAATAATAAAGAAACAGACAGAATCAGCACATGTTTTGGAGCAAGGTGACAGAACTTTCTGATGGACTGGTGTGAGAAGTAGGGAAAGAAAAGAACCTCATGTAACTCCAAAGCATTATTCCTGAGAGGAGAGAGGACAGTGAGATTTATTTGCCCAAATAGGGGCAAAGGAAGGGGCTACCAAATTTGGACTGGCAGTGGAAGTGGGGTGTCAAAGCTCTATTTTCAAAATATTTAGTCTGGGGCTGTCCATTAAATGTTTAAGTGGAGTTGTCAAAAGGACAGCTGGGTACACAATATGTCTTAAAGGTCAAATCTAGAGAAATAAATTGAGGACACATAAGTATTTGGAAGGTATTAGATGAGAAGAGATGATCTAGGGAAAAAGTGATGATAGAGATGGACAGGGTCCCTGGGACCTTCTAAGGACTCCGCAGCAGTACAAGTTCAGCTCAGAAGGAAAAACCAGAAAGGTTGACCAAGAAGCATGGTCTTTGAGGTGATAAGAGAACCAGACAGTTTCTGTTCAGAGGCTCATGGAATCACCCTAGAAGCAGAAGCCTGAGCATCACCTAGGAACTTATGTAAGATTCAAGGATGGAATCTGCAACAGGTTCCAGTGAGACTGTATTCCTGCAATACTTGATTTGGGATTTCTAGCCTCCAGAACTGTGAGACAACAAATTTCTATTATTTGAAGTCGCATTTGTTATGGAAGCCCTAGGAAATTAATACAGGTACTTTACTCCTTTTCTTCTACTACTTATCATTAATAATAGACAACTTGATGATATGCTGTCAAAATGCCAACATGGCCTCACTTAGTCCTTGGCCCCATCATAAGTTGACTTTCTAAGTCAAATGTTTCAGATCTTTGGGACTCCAATATTGAAAAATTTTGGATGACACTCAAATGCTGCATTTGATGGTAAAGCAAACTGCACTGCTGAAGGACACCACTGTGGGATTAAAATTAATACCTAACAAGATGAATCAATGGAAGGATTTGTAAGGACAGTTCAGTTTGTTGATTAGCATTCTGAGTGATTCTTTTTTTCCAGGAAAAAGATAAGCTCAGGAAACTTGTCCCTACTAGCTCTAAAGTATCTGTATTGATTAAATTTCAGGGAATAGTGCACCATTATGTGTTCTGGGAAGGCTTCTCACAGCAGCTAAGAAAACAGAGAGAGACAGAGGGAAAGATGACAAAACCAAGTGAATCAAAACAGGTGTTACAGCACGATGGATGAACATTATTCAGTTATTAAAATAGTGAAGAGGATAAATATCAACAAGATTGGAATATAATGAAATGGACTACTAACCAGCAATAAAAAAAGAGTTCAGGAACAAAATACTGAAACTTACAGCAACAGATGGATTACAAAAATATAGAAGGGTAAACACTCTATGATTCCATTTATAGAATGGTTTAAAACAGGCAAAGCTAATCTACAGTAATAACAATCAGAACAGAGGTTACATTACTGGAATGGAATGGTGAGGGTAGCGACATGAAGAAACTTCTTGGAGTTATGAAATGTTCTATCTTGATCAAGCAGTAGGTTACATGGTACATATTTTTGTCAAAAACACATCTAAAAGTAACTTTCAGAACTGCGCACTTTACTTTATAAATGACGCTGTCATTAACATTTTTTAAATACTTGAATACAGTGGCTTTTAAAATGTTTCCTTGTAGAAATGTATCATGTGACCATTGTAGAAATTTAGAAAATTTTTTTAAAAATAAATAGGAAGAAGAAAAAAATAAATAGGAAGAAAATGAAAACACCCAGGACTCTATTTAGAGTAAATAATTTAAATGTAAGTAAAATGAAAGTGCTACCATAGTAAATATTAAATGCATATTTAACTGCTATTATTTTTTTTTTAAGATTTATTTATTTATGCTTACAGAATTGTGGTACAGGCCAGAGGTGCAGGGGTGGTGAGAGGATTCACCAGAGACAGAGTGGGAAACAGAACAGGCAGACTGACAAAGTACACTGCTGAGGGGAGCAGGGGGGCGAGTCAGGAGAGGTTTGCCTCACCATGGGGGTTAGCTCCCTGCTTGGGGATCGAACTCATGCAGCAGTGGCTTCCAAGAGCTTCGTAATGCAGTGATTTGACCCGCTGCGCTACCAGGGAGAGCCCCTGTTTCACTACCTTTAAAACACAGTACCTGTGAGTAGGCTCTAAATAAAATGATGGGAAATAACTGGGAATTAAAATGTGGCTGCTGTGTGTTTCCCTTTCCTTCAAAAAATGTCTTTTATCTGATAAATCAGTCATGAAGGAGAAACAGGTCCTAGGATGACAGAGGAGAGCAACCGTGGCCATTTTCCTGCAGTGGAAAGCACAGGGATGGGCCATTCAGTTCTCACAAGTGGGAGATGAAGCTTGATGAAGACAGGAAAAATGTCCCATTAATTCTGAGTCTCCAGAAACAAGTACCAAAACAGGGACATTGTAAACATTTCTGAATAAATGTTCTATGTCCAGGAAGAATTAATCATAAAGAGGTGGAATTTAAATTCAAAGCATAAGGAATTTAGGATGGACATGAGTAAGTATCTGTCATGGAGCAGTCTAGCAATAAAAATATTTTAAGAGTATATCACTGCTAGTCCAGGATCGTTTATACATCCATCTTCCTAAAGGATGTCATCTGTAGCTAGTGGAACTCTAGTTCCTCTCCTTCTATTCTACTTCCATTATTCCTTTCCAGAAAACCAGGGATCAGCATCACCTGCCTGTTCAGAAACCCCACTGTGTGGGAGAAGCAGAGCAGATGGCCAGTCTCAGGGGGAACCATGTTTGCACCCAAGAGGCTCAGCTTCCACATCAACATTCACAGGGATCTGCTTCCTTGCCTGTTGCAGAGATCAGATACCAAGCTCTAAGGAGTCCAGTCGCCGCTGAAAGGAGATGCGTGACAAGCCATATGGCAAGAGAACCCCCCTTCTGGAAGAGCCTGAACTGATGAAATTCTGCCAAAATTTAGAAAGCAGATCTCTAGGTGGTAGAATCTGTGGGATCTTTAGTTTTTTTGTTTGTTTGTTTTTGTTTTTGCCTAAATATTTGATAATGAATAGATAGTGCCTCTGCAAAGAGAAAGCTATATAACTTATTTCTGATTCTCAGGATGTTGGAAAGATTCAAAGAGGTCTCTCTTTGAGTTTATTTTCAGGGTCAAATTACTCACCACCTCTGAAAGAAATTAAAACAGTGCTTAACTGGAAAAAAAAAAAAAAAGCTATCTTCCTTCTTCCTTCTCCCAGCCCCACTGAGCAAGCTATCATTTATGAGTCAAATGTCCTTTAGTACACATCCTGTACCTGTCTGGGGCTGGCACGAGGTAGGGTGAGGTACTTTGCAACTTACCATGGCCACGATAAGAGGTCAGTCACCCAGGCAGAAGTTCCTCTGTGATAAAAGAAGAGGAAATTACTTAGATGAGTAAAGTGTGATTAAAGTCACTAATCAGGATAACTTATAGTTTGCAGGAAGTTAAGCCACAGGGAAATAACATCCAGTTTTATCAAAATACCAGCTATTGATTAGCCAAAGATAACATAGTGAGTCCAACTAATGATTAATGAGAAATTAGTCAAACAGGCAAGTTTATTATACCAGTAAAATATTTTCTTATCTGCTCTTCTGCTTGGAGAAACACATTATAGAAGTCACTCATTGCTTTGTTAGGATGACATACATTATTTGTAAACCAAACCTTGTTTCTGAACTGTTTGCTCTAGTGGATCAGATCGTAGGAGAAAAGAGATAATCTGAAAATTCAATGTACCAAGGAAAAGCGCTGCACTACACCTACACTCTGTGTGTGTAAGTGTGTTGATATGCAAAGATAGGTGAGTGGCCCAACCAACATTAGCCTTCTGGTTTCCCAGTGACCGCTTCCGCTGCCCTCGCTCAGTATTTAAAGATGTTTCTTTCTTTTAAGCTGCAGCCTTCCATACTCAGCTTTGCCCTTAGTTCTCTGAACCACTCCTTCCTTCATCAAAAAGACTTGAATTTCAGTCATTCAGAATGCAAAAAATATTTTTACTATCAGCTAGAACACCAGACAGATTCTTATGATATATGGAAGGCCTCAGAATAATAGGCCAACTGGATTCTTGTTTCTATATCTAAGTCCTACAGATAATGCTCCTTTTCTAAATGTTACTTAGATCCTTGATACTTAAGAAATCATCCCAGAAACAGAAGCCTGGACATCTCTTGGGAACATGTTAAAAATGTTGAATGTAGGCCCTAACCCAGACTAACTACCAGAATCTGTATTTAACAGGATTCCTCAAACACTTGTCTGCACTATAGTTTGACATTTACAATCCTACCAAGGAACATTTTTCAATTATTGCCTGGAATAACTAAATCTTTCTTAGCCCACTTTATTGTCTACTTAGGTATGTTTGGTCACATTTCGGTTTATCTTCCAGCATTCCTTGGGCCCTGCTCCTTTCTTCCTGTTTCCACCACTGACTGAAGACGGACATCATACTGAACAAAGGTTCAATCCCTTCCTAAGCAGAATGTCACCTGGTTTCTGGGCACACCCTGAACAAATATGCAGAGATGAGAATGAGCGTAGCTACATAGACAATGGGTGAGGCCACAACAGCTGTGGCTTCATTCCCAGGCAGGTTCAGAGAATTTGTTATAGGAATCTTGTCCTTTACACAGCCTTTATACTGTAGGGTAATGAGAAAACCATGGAAAGTTCTGGGGTTTTCATAAAAATTGATACTGTAATTTCAGGTTTTCAGGGCTAGTCTCCCGGCCAGGAATGCCTCCCAGGCTGCAGTGGCAGCACTGAGTCCCAGCCCCCGGACCACCACCACCAGGCTCAGGTGTGCAAATATAAAATTCTGATTTCACTATTCAGAAACAGACTTATCGGTGCATGGTCACACCTGTTTGCTTGCACACTCTCTAGGCTATTTCCATGCTACAATGGCACAATTGGGGAGCTGTGACAAAGAATATATACCCACAAAACTGAAAATATTATTTTTATTGATCTAGCTCTCTATTTACTGATTGGCTTAAAGTAGCATGTGTTGGCCTACAAGTATTTAATACCTGCCCCTTTACAGAAACAGTTTGCTGAGCTCTGGTATGAAGGATGATATGATCAGGCTCCTGGGAAGGAGCTGGTTTAGACATGATAGCGAAGCTGAGACTTGAATGAGAAAAAGGGGTCAGTCATTCAAAGTTCTGGAGAATTGTTTCAGGTATTTAGTGAAAAGGCCCTGAGGCAGGAATCAACTTAATGTGTTTGGGCGACTGATAAAAGCATCATGAACAGGGACCAGAGGGACAAGAGGTATAGCTAGGGTTATGACCATCTATAGGGACAGGAAGAGATAGCTCTTTCTCATCTGCCCAGAATGTGCCAGGGGATGCCAAAAGCAGGACTTTTTTTACTTCAGACGTTCATGGGCCTCCACCACTGCTTCATCTGGAGGCTCTTTTTCACAACACCTGAATTACCAAGGGGAAATACCTCCTCTGAAAGTCAATCTTTAACAGGAAAACTTCCCGTCATTTTGACCACATTAAGAGGAGGAAAAATTGCCGGAGCAAAGCCACTTGGAAACACTCTGGGTTTCAGTGAGCTAGAAATATTTTACTAAAGGAAAAAAAAAATGTCTCATAGTTGCATAGAGGGTGCTTTTAGTCAGACCATTTATTTTGAAACTTGGACAGCATACAACATAAACCCATTATCATTGAGACAACGGTTGTATATTTATTATTTATTAGTATGAAAAAAGTTTCTAAATAGATTATAGAAATGATTGCAGAAAGTGGTACTCCTTAGTTATTTGATTAGATGTAAGACATTCATGTAAAGTTAATTTATACAAATACTTACTAGCAGGATCTGGCTCCTAGCTAGGTCTCAATAACTTTTGGCAAGGACAAGGGGAGCAGAAAGTAATTGGGGAATTGAACACATCCCTCCACCAGTACAGAATTGTGGGTTCGATTCTTAGCTGCACAAAATGACTAGTTACTTCCCAAAGGATGAAAGATGCACCTGCGAAAATCCTCCCACATGTTCCACCCACTATGCAGAGCCATGAGTCTTTACAGAAATACTTTTCTGCCTCAGTTTCCTTGATTCTTTCATAGCTTCTCTGAAGGCAGTTACAATTCCATAAATTGACCAAAACCAAGTTCACAACCATTTAGTGTATCAGGGTTTTAAAGGTTATTTTGCTGTTCACAGTTGGGTTAAAATAACTAGGAACTATGTCTTCTTTCACTGATTAAGTGAAAACACATTCAGGTTTGGGAATCGTCCAAATGACCATAAAAACATTAAGGCTCTTTAAAAGGAAAGTGAAAATTGAAGGGACCATATGTTAGTGAAGTTTCAAAAAAACCATAAAAGTTATGTAATATTAAAACTCCCTAAGTAGGACTCATGATAGTATTCCTGAAGATTTTAAGACTTAATTTTAGAGCAACTAAAAGAAAGCTGGCAAGTAAACATAAGAGCCCATCTCTACAGCGATTACATAAGAAAATAAGTTGTAATTAAGTTCAACCAATTTCAGGCAAGATTACATGAATTTTCAAAACTAATGGGGATTCATAGTGAAATATTAGGTACATTGAGAACACATCTCTACTGTTTAATGGTTATAAGTCCAGAACAACAATTATTACACTATCCCACAAATTGTCCGATTGTATGACTGCCAGAAATTGGCAAGCCAAGTGCTGATAAAGTTCCTTACATCCTTGTAGCAGGTAGAAGGTACATGCCCAAGGTACATACCTCTGACCCTAAGTAGTATTTCTGTAGGCACTAAACTGAGGCAGCAGTGTGGTGTACCCAAAATTTGGAAAGAGGCAAATTACATTGTTCTTCAATATTAGACTAGTAAAATGAGCAAACTGAAACAAAGGTATGCAAACTCATCTCAATGAGAAAAGATGGCTTCCTCGGTGAAGCTAGCTTGCTGAAAGGATTTAGCACATTTAAAGAAAAGTGTCTATTAGCAATGCAACTTTCACATAAAGCTCTCAGAGAGGCTTACACTGGCCCATTTGTGAAAGCCTAGACCTGAGGAAAGGGTGGTTGGGTCCCAGGATCCACCTATCCTGGGGTCAGATGAATTTTATTCATCCCCACTGTGAAGATTAACTGTATTCATCTATTACCTTCTGTTCTGATTCCATGCATGCCAAGCAACCTCTAATTAGTTTGATTTCCTGTGTGTCTCTGTCTACACAGAACCAGAGCAGGTGCACTTTGTCCAATTAACAATTTTTAATGTAAATAAAGTAGCAGTGTGTGTGTGTGTTTGCATGTATGTGTGTGTGGTGGGTCTGTAAATATGAGCTTGTCCCTGTGAACTGGGCCCCTTTTCCGTGTGCCGGTGAAACAATTGCTGTAGGTCTACTGGATGCTGCTCAACAGTATCCAAGAGCTGCTCAACAATGCACTTGGATAACAGATACCCAACTTAAATTAGCAGCCTCCATTCAGATTTATAACACTGACCCACAACCCAGCAGAGGCAACTTGAATGTCCATTACAAAATAATCTTCTGTCCCTGTGACACGTGTCCCCAAGAGATCATAAGTCAGTGAGTCATTCACTGAATGACTCTCTCTGGAGAGTCATTTTTCTCTGGAACATGGTTTCAGTTTACATCCCACAGAAGGACAAATTTCATCTTACATCCCACAGAAGGACAAATTTAAACTTCTAATCTGAAGGATTGGGGAGGGTGTGCTTGGGCGCCATCCAAGCACTGAAAGCTTTTGAAACTGTCTAAGTAACAGGAAAATGAAAGCAACACTTTTTCCTTGGGACACAGATTCTCTTAAAGGTAAAGGAAATTTTAGTGCAGGGATGGGGTTTGAATCCAGAAACAGAGTAACCTATCATTTAAAAAACTCCTGGCAACTGTTGGCAATGACTCAGTTGAACTTCCTTCCCATTGCAAGGGCTCTTTCCAACCTTTCTGAATGGTCCTCTTCCAGCTTTTAGTTGTGCTCTCTTGGCTATAGGCTCACTCCTCAATGGGTAAGCTCTGCCACTGCTAAGAGGCTCAGCATTAGAAAAGCTGACCTAGTAGTCCTTGTTTTGTATGCTGGAGCTAGAAGGACTCTATTTTTTTTATAATACTTTAGTTTTACATCATTTAGTGCCTTTTTCCATCTCAGTTGTAATCCCCGTGGGTTTCCACATCACCTGTTCACCCTTATGCCACCACCAAAGTCCAGTACACTTCCCCCCACCATTTTTGATCCCATTCCCCACTCTACCCCCATAAAATGTCTCTGGTATATAGTTGTTCATTATTATTATTATTTCCCTCCCTATCCCCAGGTCCTTTATGCTCCTGCTATGAGTGAAACCATCCGGTATTTTTCTTTTTCT